TGAATGAATATTTCCTGAGTACTCACTGAGTAACAATACTCAGAAATTGTTAGTAGTACCAATATGAGTACTCATGGACGAATTATGAGTAAAGTCGTACTCATCGTATGAGTACTTTCACTAGGGTAGTAATATCTTTTCATGTGTACGGACGCGTCCTTAGGCTATATTTAAGAGTGTCAGTGCTTGATTTCTAAAACCTTCATGTTTAAGCATTTTGATACGTAATGGTCTATAAGATCCTCAGGCGAGAGAAGAGTTTCCGTTTACTTCTGTAAGATAACAGACACCCCGATTAAAGAGAGAAAAAGGGATCCTTTGAACTAACTTGAAATGTTTTTCGTTTAGTAAAGAAATATTTTCAACTCTATCATTCTATTTAGTTCGAGTTCGAATTTCTCATTCTATATAACGAACTAGCTAGCACAAGTTGATTTTCATTTAATAATGACTTTATTTCTCTATTGTAGATGAATTCACAAAAGAAAAATTCCTTGCTCAGAAAAACACCGCGGATTTTTAATTTCACTCTCATTAGTTTTATGAGAATTAATTCTTTTCTCATGTATAAGGAGTTTTCCGTTTTGGCAGCGAAATATTCTCTCCAGATATCTAACAAAGATAGAGAACAGATTTCGTTGTTACCTAGATCGAACTCGCAAAATAACTTTCTCACAAGCAACAGACTACTCAAGAAAAATGTGAACATCGGCCACTTTAAGTGGTCACTTTTCAACAAGCATCGTTATAACGGGTACCCTACAAAAAAATATTTTATCGGCACTGGTTGTGCACGGGTGCGTACCGATGCCGAATAATTTTTTTTCTGCGTACCGATGCGCATCAGTGCCAAAAAGAATGTAAAAATGTCGCCAGTGCCGAAGTTTTGTTTTCAATCACCATTTTGTTTTGTCAATTTCTGTCTATATTAACGTTACAGTCTACTTCTAATATTTCGAATGTCTTTCTGACTTCATCTTTTCCTTCTCATAAGAGAAGTGCCGAGGCAATGTCGCGTAGTTTTGGCATGTCGATGTGATACTGATCAGTACCGCACTCCAGTACAAAATTCAGCATAAATAACGATAATAAAGAACTAATTAAATTGATTAAATAAATTATCAGTGCGGCACTCTTTCGGCAGAAACATATCGGCACTGGTGCGCACGGATGCCAATCGGCACTGGTTCGGCACTTTCTGGGCACGGGTGCGCACCGGTGCCTGCCAGTGACCGATGACGTGCCATGCGTACTGGAACTTTTTTTAGAGAGTAAGCATTCGAATTCTAGTTCTTTTTTGTATATCTCACTTAAAATGAGAATAACAAAAACACATATCTTCAATCACACACTTGTCTATAGTTATATAGTAGAGAACTAGCAACTAGGAGATACCTCTTTCTACATAGGATATCCCATGTACAGAGATTCTTTTGTCCCAACGTGTCAATTGCATAGAAACAGAACAGAAAGATATTCATACGCAAAAAAGAGATATCTCGTTATTTGCTGGTTACTAAACAAAATATGGACAGAATTTATATTTCGTATATTATGCGAAATATAAATTCTCACTTTGAAATGAGAGAAAAAGAATTCTTTTGAGCTCAATTCAAAGATGAGACCGCGAACACAGTATTGGATGCGCTGCTAATGCCGCATCATAAATGGAATTCATTAATATAACTCATAGATTAGATTGTGATGTGGCATCCACACAACATCCTAGAGCAATGGAATATTCATTGGGATATAGTATCCCGTCGATGCAAAATAAGCTGTTTTCAGTTTTTTCCACGCACTCTTCCATAGCAATGCGCATCTAATCAGCTTCTTTTCGGGCAGAGTGCATAAATTCTGAGGATGGCAGCGATGCGCATTTTTTTTGGCATCTGCCCGACATTTTTCTGCAAGGATGCGCACGGACGCTGAAAATGGCAGGAACACGCAGGGATCCCGGATCTGGTAACCTTACGCACCCCCCTCCTATTTTGGATTCTGTAATGGTTTTTTTCTATAGACTGTTCAAAGCGGCCACGTTTCTTGAAAAACTTTATCATTCCAGTATTATTCAGTTGTAAAAAGATTTCAATAATCTACAACGTTCAAAGACATTTAAAGATAAAAGCAGCGATACCGACGCATATACCAAGTCGCTGCTTCTTAACCAAAAAACACCTCCAACGTTAGAAAACATTCTAACAGCATACCCTAGTGAAAGTACTCATACGATGAGTACGACTTTACTCATAATTCGTCCACGAGTACTCATATTAGTATTACTAACAATTTTTGAGTATTGTTACTCAGTGAGTACTCAGAAAATATTTATTCACCGTTTTATTTTGCTAGACTGAAACTGTATAAAGAACGTAGAATTTAGTGAAGAAACATAGAATATTTATATTATTATTTCCTCACTAGTCTCTCTGTATATAGTCAAGAATGGACTCGTCTGTGACTATACTAGTAGTCCTACCTACTCTGGCTGCCTGAGATCACTCCTCTATATGAAAATATCAGATGAACAATACTCATGGGTATTTTGCCAAAACTTATATGAGTACTCAACAATACCCAAGCGTGAGTACTCGAAGCCGTACCTAGAATACTCGTTATTCACTCATGAGTACTCAATAAGTAAAAAAGTGTGTGAATACTCATAAGTACTCGGGACACTTTTCAGCAGAGTACGGCTTTGAGTACTCATACATTTACTAGAGTACACGTCGTTTCTGCATAGTGACTCCAGCATTGTGGCACCACTCTCCATTTATCACGATGGATTCACGGCTATCATACCCATGTAAATATTTTCGGTTTTATGCAGGGTTATTCGCTGTTCTGGCGCGTCTAAACGCGTTCCATCTAGACGCGTCTAGGTAGTGCAAATATGCACCATTTGACGCTACCTAGACGCGTTGACCGCGCTTTATCTAGACGCGCCTATACTCTCTAAAAAAAAGTCGTATTCTCGGAAACCGAAAGGAAACGGTTTTCGAGCATCCGGAAACCAAAATGGGTTTCCCACAAGCTCTCGAAAACTGAGATGAGTTTCCGAGCTAATCTCGGAAACCCATCAAAAGGTTTCTAAAAGTTCAAATAGGTTTCGGAACCTTCGGAAACTTTTATCCGTTTCCTATAGTTCCATTTTCGGAAACCTTTTAAGCGTGTCCGAGAATTTTGTAAGGTTTCCGAGAGTTCGGAAACTCTTAAAGGGTTTCCGAAAATGAAACTATAGGAAACGGATAAAAGTTTCCGAAGGTTCGGAAACCTGTTTGAACTTTTGGAAACTCTTTGATGGATTTCCAGGATAAGGTCGGAAACTCATCTCAGTTTTCGAGGGCTTGTGGGAAGCCCATTTTGGTTTCCGAACGCTCGAAAACCCTTTTCTATCGGTTTCCAAGGATTCGATTTTTTTTAGAGAGTAAACGCGTTTTTATAAAATTAATTCTTTTGTGCAAAAAGGTTTGTTTTTGTTCAACTAAAATTCTTATACCGAAGTTCGGGGTCTTATAACTAGCTACTAGAAACGAAGAGGAGAGAGAACAGCTTAACTGACATGAAAGAAAGATAAGTATAGAAGATGTACTTACGGAGAATTGAACACGCGACCTAGAACAGAGAGGGAAATTAAAAAGCAAAGTACTTACCGTTCAGCTAACTGGGCTTGGTACTTGCTCTATATTTTGTTAGTCTGTAGGTTTCAAAGTGACAAAGACTAAGCAGGAAAAGGATGAAAGTAAATATTTTGCTTTACAGTACTCCTGCCTGAAATTTCGAGAAAAAACGTGTCTCTTAGAAACTTCTCTTTAAAACTGGTACTTCTACGACTCTTTTTTTGTCAGTATTAAGCATATTCTAAATATTTCATTAGATGTACCACTTGGAATTTAAAACTTCGTTATTTGCACATATTTTTTTGACTTCTAAACCAACTCGAGACTGATAAACATCCTAATCCTTGTAGTCGAACGATGTGAACTGAACACAGCGAGAGAGAAAAGAAACACTTGTATATCAGCATGAACAGGAGTTTTCGAAGCACAACAGAACGCGTCTGGATGTCTCTTTCAAACAGAATGAAAAGAGACGCGACAAACTTTTTGCGCCTGAGTAAGACGCGTCTGGACGCGTTTAAAAAAAGTGCAACTTAACGCCTCTAATGTTTTTTAAAAAAAAACGCGCCTGAACGCGTCTTTTCGAAATGAAACGCATTTCGATCTACATGGGTAGACTATGCAAATTAAATCAGCAAAATCTAATCTCTCACTTTAGTGTGTACTAAACGATTCGTAGCTCAACCCACAAATAACACTGAGAATGCTCCAGATTTTGTGACAACAGGTGATTACAATGCTGACAAGAAAACTGATTTGGCTATTGCAAATTTCGATGATAACACCGTCGGTATATTGCTCGGTAACGGTGACGGAACATTTCAAAGTCAAGTCACATATGCAACTGGGGATTCGCCATCTTCTGTGACAACAGGTGATTTTAATGGTGATAACAGAGCCGATTTGGCTGTTGCAAATTTCGATGATAACACCGTCAGTATATTACTCGGTAACGGTGACGGAACATTTCAAAGCCAAGTGGCCTATGCAACTGGGAAGGCTCCATCTTCTGTGACAACAGGTGACTTTAATGGTGATAACAGAACTGATTTGGCTGTTGCAAATACCGGTGATAACACCGTCAGTATATTGCTCGCTAATGGTGACGGAACATTTCAAAGCCAAGTGACATATGGAACTGGGAAGGCTCCATCTTCTCTGACAACAGGTGATTTTAATGGTGATAAAAGAACTGATTTAGCTGTTGCAAATTTCGATGATGCCACCGTTAGTATATTGCTCGCTAATAGTGGCGGAACATTTCAAAGTCAAGTGAAATATGGAACTGAAAATAGCCCATTTTTTGTGACAACAGGTGATTTCAATGGTGATAACAGAACTGATTTGGCTGTTGCAAATTTCCTTGAAAGCACCGTCAGTATACTGCTCATTAATGGTGACGGGACATTTCAAAGTCAAGTTACATTTCCAACTGGTGACTTACCAGTTTCTCTGTCAACAGATGATTTTAATGGTGATAACAGAACTGATTTGGCTGTTGTAAATTTCGCTGATAACACCGTCGGTATATTGCTCGGTAACGGTGACGGAACACTTCAAAATCAAGCCACATATGAAACTGGTAAGTCTCCATATTCTGTGACAATAGGTGATTTTAATGGTGATAACAGAACTGATTTGGCTGTTGCAAATAACGGTGATAACACCGTCAGTACATTGCTCGGGAACGGAAACGGAACATTTCAAAATCAGGCCACATATGGAACTGGGAATTCTCCATCGTCTGTGACAACAGGTGATTTCAATGGTGATAACAGAACTGATTTGACTGTCGCTAATACGGGTACCAACACCGTCAGTATATACCTCTCTAACGGTACCGGTACATTTCAAAACCAAGTGACTTATGCAACTGGGAATTCTCCATATTCGGTGACAACAGGTGATTTTAATGGTGATAAAAGAACTGATTTGGCTGTTGCAAATTTCGCTGATAACACCGTCAGTGTATTACTCGCTAATGGTACCGGTACATTTCAAAACCAAGTGACTTATGCAACTGGCAATTCTCCATATTCGGTGACAACAGGTGATTTTAATGGTGATAACAGAGCCGATTTGGCTGTTGCAAATTTCGGTGATAACACCGTTAGTATATTGCTCGCTAATGGTGACGGAACATTTCACAGTCAAGTCACATATGCAACCGGGAATTCGCCATGTTCTGTGACAACAAGCGATTTCGATGGAGACGGCAGAACCGATTTGGTCGTTGCAAATGACGGTGAGAACACCGTCAGTATATTGCTCGCTATTGGTGACGGAACATTCCGCAGACAAGTGGCATGTCTAACTGGGAATTCTCCATCTTCTGTGACAACAGGTGATTTCAATGGGGATAAAAGAATTGATTTAGCTGTTGCAAATTACGATGATGACACCGTCAGTATATTGCTCGCTAATGGTGACGGAACATTTCAAAATCAAGTCACGTATGGAACTGGCAATTCTCCAGTTTCTCTGACAACAGGTGATTTCAACAATGATAACAGAACTGATTTGGCCGTTGCAAATTTCGATGATAGTACCGTCAGTATATTGCACGCTAATGGTGACGGAACATTTCAAAGTCAAGTGACATATGCAACTGGATATTTTCCATCTGCTGTGACAACGGGTGATTTCGGTGGTGATAACAGAACAGATCTAGCGGTTGCAGATAACGGTGATAACAGTGTCATTGTATTTATTGGAGTCTGTATGTGAGAAAACGAAAACTGTTTGGATTTTGTTTTTTAAGCGTCTTTTTTTATTGAAATTGCCAGAGGTATAAAATAAAAAATGGTTACAATGGTTTCTGCGCGAATATTTCATTTTAAACTTGTAACGCCGTTGGTACAGAGTATACTCTGTAAATGAAAATTATGCGGTAATATGACGATGTATACATCGTCATATTACCGCATAATTTTCATGAATCTTGACTGGGCTATGAATACTTTAATTTTACTCAAAAATAGGCAAGAAAGGGTTATATTACTTGATACAGATTTTCATTAGGTTTTCGAAACGTTTTTGAAAATCGAATGTTGCCAGTAGATTCAGCGTCGTCGATTGCCTATGTTTCCATTTGTTGACGGAATTATCATATCTAAAGAAATCCTCCTGATAGTCGACCGACAGAATGTTCACGACAACAATACATTTTCTCT